ATGTGTCACTTCACACCTGTGAGAGCAGCAGCGCAGCAGCATGGCTGTTCAGCTGACTGATGTTCTCCTGGCTGTAGTTCACATCCTGGCCAGAGGTGGGGAGCGTCTCTCTGAGCACAGCTGAGCCCAGCACCTGAAACTGCTCAGCAGGCGATGAGAGGAGCAATTGAAGCCTCTTCTGAAGCTCTGGGGGCAACCTTTGATGACAACAGAGGAGACATATGGCAGGAAATTCTGTCAAGTCAAGACAGTTTTATTTATATATATCCAATATCACAAAGGGCATCTGTACAGCATAAGAAACCCCCTGTCCTTTGACCTGCCTGAGACAAAAACTTAAACAGGGAAAAAATGGAAGAAACCTCAGGAGGAGCAGCTGAGGAGGGATCCCTCTCCCACTTGATGGACAGACATGCAATGTGTGTATAAAGTAAAAGCTCACAGTCTGGAGCAGAAATGGAGGAAGATTGATGACTGTGTTTGCCATCTAAGAGGGCATGTGAGATCACAACAGGCAGTAAATGGGTGTTTAGAGGAACGAGATGAAGAGGGGGTGAAGAAAAAAGGCGTTGGACAATGATGGAGCAAATTGAATGTGATGAGAGCAGAAAGGTGACTGGACAGAGGGTCGTGAAGGGTGTATGAGAGGTGCAGGCTGGCGCTCTTACGTCCTGATGTATTTGTTGGCAGAGAGGATGAGGTGCAGCCTCTGGAGGGAGTCGACAGCCTCATGGCCGAGCTCCTTCCCCTGGAGCAGCTTGACTAACCTGCCGTAAAACTTCTGCAGCTCAGAATCCTGAATCTCCCTGGAAATAACACACAGAGGTGCAGGTTTTGTCTCTGGAAAGTTCTTCAAGACAAGAGTATCAACTGACACAATATTTATAAAATCTATATTTCAACAGAATCAACGTCAAAATTCGACTGCCTGTCCATAAATCCCTGAACAGTTTAGGTCCAAGTTGTCGGATCTCCTGCCTTCTATGAATCTCGCAGACCACTCAGGTCGGTTGGCTCTAGTTTACTGGTTGTTCCCAGAGTAACATCCAAACATGATAAAGCTGCTTTAGATTGTATGCCACTAAAATGTGGAACAAATTGCCAGAAGAGCCGAGACTTGAGACAATGCGACTAGGGATGCACAATAATATCGGCATGTCATCACTATCGGCCGATATGCTTTTTCTTATTTTGCACAATGAATAAATATTACATACAATGAAAAGCATTTTACTTAATATCTCCATCTGCTGGAGGGCTGTCACGATAAGAGTATGCATGTATAATACGATGTTAATTCCACCACAGAAGAGACTTGATGAGGACTAAAATTAGGTGGGGAAAAAAGTGGATATATTAATACCAGTATTGGTTGTCGGTCAAATGAGTTGATATAAATCGGCCTGTGTCTCCTATAAAGCACTTTGGGCTGCCTTTGGGTATGTTACATGCGATATAAATGTAATGTGCTTTTGTGTGTTTGTTTGTGGCTGTGTGCTTTGGTTTATGTTGTGCTTTTGTGTAGTACACTTTCAATGTTTTAGATTATATGGTTATATCATTCTGTTATTGTTCTTATGTCTTGTTGTTTTTGCTTATGTGCCCTGCTGTGTGCTTTTGTGTATGGTTATATGCTTGCTCTGTATTTATGTGACCTCCTATGGACACGTCATCAATCTACTTTTATCTGTGAATGTTATTTTGTATTTTTACACATATACCACCAACCTGCCAGGGACTGCAGATAAAAATTAGCCTGTATGGCTACATCTGGGCACATTTACGTGACTTAAGTGATCATGTAAATTAATGTGCACTGTCCCTTTATAAAAGAAATTTACATATAATTGTGCTTTTGCCTTGATCATTAATAAATCCTTTAAATCATTTACCTGCAAAACTTAATACATGTCTAGTGTTGCGAGCTACAGCCTCATAAAATCAACTGTTTCAAACTGAACACTTCTAAGACAATTTAAAGGGTCACATTAACTTAAATAACGTCAATTCTGTTACATTAATTAAAACACAGCAGGCGTGATAATAAAAAATAGTTGTTTGCCGTCCTACCGTTAATATACAGCCTTAAAATTCACGCTACATGTACGTAAACATTAAGTTTTCGACAGGCTAGCTAGCTTTAGCCTAGTTAGCTTAGCAGCGGAAATGCTAACACTGTGCGGAAACTAGCTAAAGAAGAAGAGCTTAAAATGGCGGACAAAGTTCTTCTGATGTTTCCTTACCTCGCTTGTTTAATTAAACTCTCTGAACCGTGAGAATACATTTTGAAAGATAGTCGGACATTCCTCCTCTCCGCTGTTTCTGTGTGCAGCGGAAGGTAAACAGTGCGGCCGCTAATCGGGTCCTGACTGGAATCACATGACCGCCACTTTAGTTCCGCCTTCACTGCCGGGCTGTGATGGAGCTTCTTCTTCTTCTTCTTCTTCTTCTTCTTCTTCTTCTTCTTCTTCTTCTTCTTCTTCTTCTTCTGACACATCATTCACAAAATCTAGGCTATTTGAAGAGAGGAAGTCAGATGTTGCAACTGACCCAACCGTGGGGACTGTTGCAACCTTATTTTATACAGTCTATGGTTGCAACATGTTAAAAATACATCACATTTTATTACATAACTTTTGCTTTTGCTTTCCTGTCAGTCAGCACTGTATGCTGAGAATATGCATCGTTGTTCAATAATATGACTGAGAACAAACAGAATAAAATTTCTAATTTAAGATGAATTATTTTGTGTATGACAAACAATAATGGCTAATATATAATAATAATGGATCATTACAATGATAAGGTTACATTAATACACAATAATAACACATTTTATTTATGGGCACCCTTGAAGACACTCAAGGTCACCTTACAGGCAAAGATAGAGAAAATAACAGCAGATTAAAGGAGACAATGAGATGAGGAATAAAGTAACATGAAAAAATAAATCATGACAACAAATAAATATTCAGCAAAATGAGTTTTCAGTGAATAAAATTCAGCGTAAATGGTGGATGTGTTTATAGTTACGTAACTCACAATGACTTGTGTGTTTGCATTTTAACATAATCTTATTTAATCTTTTTATAATGGCATCAGTATGCCAGTGTAGCAGACAGCAGCTGACAATTTTATTTGTTCAGGTGAAGTATAGTTTAATGTAATCAAAATGACCTGTGCATGTTGGAAAATACTGTCAGTCTGTTTGCTATGTGTGCTTAGCTATCAGCCATGACTGAATCATGTGACACACTGACCTGGACACATGTTAACTATAGTCGCATAAAAGTCAACCAAGTGATGTTTCAAACTAAGGTTTGATCATTTCATGCAAAATGTGACGGTAGTATGACAAAAATACAGCTCCTGAAAAAATCCTTTAATACCTCCAAAATATTTTTGTCACAGTAAATGCAGCAGCAGATGTTGAATGTGTCCTCTCTCTTGGGGTTGAAGGTGTAACTGAGCATGTGCAGTATGAGTGTCATCACTCCAGCATGTTTCTGATTAGAGGAGTGGGAGCTGTTGCAGCCGTCTCCAGCCTTCCCTAAAACCATATTTGTCTAATCATATCCAGTGAAAATGAATGTATCATAAGAAAAGCATGTTTTTGGTTTGCTTTTTTCCTTTTTTGATGGAGGACCCACTACAGTGTTATGTCACTTTAAGGCTTTACGTTAGTTAGCCTGCTTCAAATGTCTGTTTCAAATTATTTATTTACTTTACTTTTACTTTTTTAATACCAGATAGATAGATAGATAGATAGATAGATAGATAGATGAGCTTCTCATACACGAATGATAACTATCCAAGGACACAGTTTACTTCAGGTACACATAAGGAAGCAAAATACTACATGTCTCAATGTTGTAATGGTTCATTTTGTTCCTACAAAACTTATCATAACTGTCAGTTACTTTCAGTGCAGAGAAAAAACTTGTGGAGGCCACTTTTCTGTCTGTGATTGATTACGGTGACATTTTGTATATGCATGCAGCCTCCTCCATTTTACGTAGCCTTGATTCAGTGTACCATGCATCTCTATGTTTTATTACAATCGCAAAGTCACTTACTCATCACTGTGTTCTTTATGATTTGGTGGGTTGGGTGTCATTGCATTTGCAGACAGCAGCACTGGTATATTTTTATCTATAAAGCAATATTGGTCAAAAGCTGCCTTCTCCTACTCTGCACCTTGGACTTGGAACAATCTCCAAAAAGCTCTTAAATTAGAAACACTTATATCCATTGATGAATTTAAGGGCATCATAAAGAATGTGGTGACAGAGACATGTGCTTGTTTCTCTTGTTAGTTGTTGTGTTATTGTGGATTTTTGTGTTATATGTTGTATTTGTTGCATTTTAAATGTGTTTTGATTGGCTGCTGCCTCGGCCAGGTCTCTCCTGTAAAGAGATTTTCAATCTGAATGGGACTTCCGGGTTAAATAAAGTTTAAATGAAAGAAAAATAGCCCCTGTGACTGCCATACTATCATTACTGGGCTCCTGATTAATGTGCAGCCCACGCAGCATTTAACTGTTTGCAACTATGACAGTGAATCAAATAAGATCATGATGTGTTTTGAATGTGAAATTGTAAGTCACTGCAGCCATCAGACAGATGGATTAAAGATTATATAGAAATATACTTAAGTGAAGTGCAATTTAGTATTTCCATACTCCAAGAAATATTTGCCTGTCATGTTGATGTCATGCAGCTCAGTGATGTTAGATGAAAACCTCAGAGACAAGAAATAAACCTACAACTGAGCAATTATAAACTTCTAATGAGTCACTCTGTTATAGCCTATTCAGTCATGCGGCCACCGTACCTGCTGTCAGACAGAGAGAGCACAGAGTGAGACAGGTCAGAGAGAGAAAGAGAGAGAGAGACTGCGGGGTTGCGCTCCTCCTCACCTCTCTGCTGTGAACATATTATTTCCATCTGAGCTCACACCGCCCGCCTCCGCTCTCTGTCGCTCTCTGTGCCTCTCTCTGTCGATCTTTCATCTGAGGCACAGTGTCGGGGCCAAGGCTCCCATGCGCTCTTCACTCAGCCTACTTTCAAAGTCACCTCTCTTTTGGATAAATGGAGACAACCTGAGCCTCTCTTTGGGATTAATGGTGAACAAACCGGTTTAAAGACAAAACAACACAAACCAACTTTGGCCAAGTTTGATTTCTCCCACACTCTTTGGACGACTTAACGCACCACAGGTAGGCAAAATAACTCTTATCATGATCAGTGTGTTTACGCATGTTGGCTTCAGTGTGTTGATGAGTTCAGATATATAGAAATATATTTTTAAAGTGTCCGGACAGGCGTGTAAATGTGCGTCTGTCGGAGTCGGAATGGAAAAACCGAGAAGCAGAGAGGTGATATTACACCCCATAATATCACCGCATCAGCAATGACAGCCCGTCACACTGCGTGTCACTGCAACACACATCTGTCCGACTCACCCAAACTCTCACAAGTTTTTCCTTTCAAAGTGTCTCAATCTCTGAGTTACTTAGTGAGTAAATCCACTCTGTTAATCACTTGTGCACCTGCACTGTGAATGTTGCAGATCCTAATGAACGGCATGTTCCCTTCACTGTCATCTCGGCTCCTAAATTATTAGTTTGGTAACACAATAGCTCAACCTCTGTCAGCAGCAGGTTATTATCTGGCAGCATCAAAATGTTTGGGATTCCAGCAGCAGGTGCAGAAGACAATGGGATCCAGTGAGGGAGGAACAAGACACACAGGCCATGTGCATGCACACTGATGCGACTGTGTTCTGCTTATTCATCACCACTGCACTGATCTGATATTTTTAAATATCAGTTTTGCTGTGTTGTAATATGGCATGTTGAAAGCAATAGAAAGTTATGCACGAGAAGAACTTTCCATTCCACCTCACAACCACTTTGCTCCAGATATAGGATACGCTCATTTTTGAGTGACTGATTATTTTCTCGATTAATCGATAAGTTGTTTGGTCGATTAAAGTTCCCCAAAGCCTGAGATGACGTCCTCATATTTCTTGCTTTGTCCACAACCCAAAGATATTCAATTAACTGTCATAAAAGAGCAAAGAAACCAGAAAATATTCACATTTAAGAAGCTGGAATCAGAAGTTTTCACCTCACAACCAGTTTGCATTAGGGCTGCAGCTATAGGGTATTTTCATTTTTGAGTGATCTGTGTGTTATTTTCTCAATTAATCAATAAGTTTGATCTATTAAAGTTCCCCAAAGCCTTTGATGACGTCCTCAAACGTCAGTTAATTGTCACAGAGAAGTAAAGACACCAGAAAATATTCACATTTAAAAGGCTGGAATCAGAGAACTTTTCTAAAAAGATCACTGAAACTGATTAAATGATTATCAAATTATTAATAGATGGCAACTAATCGATTAATCGTTGCAGCTCTAGTGAGCAATTCTTTAAACATTAACCAGAAATCGCTCCATAGAAAGACAAAATGCTCTTCAGCGTCAAAAATTGTCATAACTGTGGCATAAAATACCTATTTTTCACTGTACCGTATGATAATTATAAGATGACTGTGTCCCTTTTTAAAATGATGTAAATTCTACAATTGCATATGTCAGAATTTATTCAATGGGATCTCCGTCTCTCTTCCCCCTCCGTCCACAGACAAAGCCCACATATCAAATTCCCATAAGCTCCAGCTATGTTGCCAGACAATGGAGCCTTTATGATGGTTCGCACACCTGAACCAATCATATCTGCCTATCAGCCAGCCAGCCAATCCTCATCCAGTACACTCACAGTCAGCCTGGACACACACTTGGCCTCTATAGGATCACTGAGCCTTGTCTCGCTGACATGGACGCACAGAGATCAAACCTGAAATGTGCAGGAACATCAACAAGTCCAGTGACTGTGCTGATGTTAGACTGTAATCTTCAGTCTGTGGGTCAGTGTCACGCCTCTTAGTTTGTGTGTGGTTAGCTGAATGTGGAATAAATCTGGGTCACTATGATGCTCATACATGCTGAGGTGACATTTTCACTGGGGACTCTTTTCGAAATCATGTTCAAAAACTTTTTTTTTTTAGCTGCACCAATCATGTTTAAAATGTGACTAACTGTCCAGCCGTCATATTCAGGCTGAGAACGTGACTTGAGCTGCTGATTCTGCTCTGATGAACTCCAAAAAGAAGTACAGAGGAGCAACAGAGGAGATTCAAATCTCTTTTTTTCTGCAGGAAGACCCTTACACCCTTCAATTTACTGCGTCCCCCTACTTCTCAGTCCAGATCCAGTGCTAATATGGAACCCATATCCTCACATATTTGGCATTTCAAAAAACAAAAGAAAAACCAGGGAGGAAACTATTAACGATGTGTCACAGTAACATCACACAGATCATCTCTCACATGGTGTTAAAGTGACAGTGATCATCATACAGTTATCACAAGGAAATCTGAGTAACATCTATAGAGAGAGAGGTGACATATAGATAAGCTGCTGAAACTAATACAATCATAATGGAACAATCCACTGAACCATTTCCTCTGAACCGTCAGCTAAAATGGTTGCTCATTCATTACTAGCAGACAGTAGCACACATTTAAATCTACTTTAACCCAAAAACACTGAGTCAACAAAATGTAAGTTATATGCTTGAAGTTACTGCAGGAGCAAAAGCATTAAAGACAAATAAGATATAGGATCAGAAATTAAAAGCAGATGTAGAGATTGGGGTGTATGTGAAGGATACATGTTAAAGATTACTTTAACTTATGTTAGTTATTGGATACAGATGTTGTAAGGATGCTCGGCTAGTACTTCATAATGTCATCATATCATACAGGTGTTATTTTGGAACCCTGCAAGATGTCTTTGTAGCTAAAAATGTAGGTGTTACGCTGCTAAACTGAATCAACATTAGGAAAAAACTAAATATAAATGCCTTTAAGACTCACAGTTATACACCTGGATCCAAACACCTCATACGCTCTAGAGCAGTCGTTCGTCCACGGGGTCTCAGATTTCTCCTTGGTCATTAGTTCAAGGTCCACACAGTTTAATATATGCAGCATCAAAAAGTATCTGTCCGTAAGTCATTCACTCTACAGCAGGAAACGGCTCTACAAATTAAAAGCTCTGAGCCAGAAATTCACTGTACTTCAATATAAAGTGTGTTTTTCACAAAGGTGACACGTTCGTGAGTTGATTGCGGGCCATTCTGAATGAACTCGCGACCCACCAGTTGGGAACCTCTGAACTAGAGATCTCAAAAAGCTCACAGTGGCGCTGTTTGTCAAGTCATTTGGCTTCTTTAAAGGAACACTTCACCCACAAAATGATCACTTGTATGTCAGTTACTCACCCTGAGTTACGTTGAATTTGTCACATGCCTCTGCTGAACAAAGAATCCAAAATGGAGAAAATTCTTGATGAATGGGAGTAAAAGACGGCCCCCAATCAACAACAGCAAATCAATACAAAAACATCCATTGACAAACCCTCACACAGCTCGTGCAGTGTAATCCAAGTCTCATTAATCCAGTTGTGTGCTCAGTACTTCCCAAACACATGCCTTTTCACCATAGCGACACTACTTAAAACACTTCTGCATACGAGCGGAGTTCAAACGCACACACCTGCCCAGGTGCACCAATCATCTGTGCATGACACTGCTTATGGGGAAGTTTAAATTAGTGAGGCTGTAACAAAGAGACATGTGTTTAGGAAGTACTGAGCATACGATTGGATGAATGAGACCTGGATTATACTGCACGAGCTGTGTGACAGTTTGTCTTGATATAGTTTTGCTGTTGTTAAGCGTGGCCCCATTGTAATCCCAATTCATTACAAAGTTTCTCAGTTTTTGGATTCTTCATTCATGGAAGGCATGCCAGAAACACAGAGTTTTCTTCAGAAATTAAACATAACATGGGGTAAGTAACTGACTTACAATGATCGTTTTGCCAGTGCGGTATTCTTTTAACTCCAGTGCCCTCATTTGATTTGTTTTAACAAATGCAAATTAGTGGTATATGATACCAACTGGCATGGAAAGGGTTAATATTTGATTAAATAATGATTTAAATCCATTAAACACATTTTAATAAAAGAATGAAACAAAAAAATCCCTGGAGGAACTGATCAAAAATTCCTAATTTTACCAGGGGGAGGGTGGTATGACGTATTTTTGTCACGGGAGGAAATGAAAGGACTTTAAATAAAATCTGACATTGCACTTAAAAAAATATAAAAGATAGAAATAAAGAATAAAAGCACCAAAATCAGTGTCGTGGGTCATGATTTACAATTGTCAGACTGAGATAATAACAGCAGAATAATCTCATTACCTGTTAGTATGTTGAAAATATTTCAATATGTTTTTCTTAACAAATGCAAATTAGTGGTTTATAATACAAACTGGCATTTAAAGGGTTAATATTTTATTAAACAATGATTTAAATCATTTTAAAGCATTTTAATAAAAAGAATGAAACAAAATAAACCTAGAGGAAATGGTAAAAAAAAAAGTGACACATATGGTCCTTTGACAATTTGTGGTGATGATAAATAAATAAAATAAATAAATGTAGGAAGTTTCCATTAGCAGGTCACAGAGGTTAAAGGGTTAATCTCTGCAGTCGTTGGTTCTTACTCATGAACTGTTCTAACGCTCAGATCTGATTTGCACCTTAGTATATGCCCAGCTTTAAAACTTTTGTGGGAATCATCAGCATTTGGTCCAAGATATGAAGCGATTACTATTTTCAACACACTTTGCTGCTTTTCAGCTCAGATTTAGTTTTGTTTATTTGATGCAGACGTAACAGCAGCTTTAGGTCTGCACATTTATGCACATGAACCAGATGTGCTGCGTTTTGTGGTTGTAGTGAAACGCTATTTTGCAACACCTGTCCACGGGAGGCTTTTTAGAAATTAAAATACTAAAAGAAAATGCATCCGCAAGCACCACAAATACATCCCAAAATCCATCCACACAAATACAAAACACTGGTGTTTCTACTGTTGTGTTGAGTGTGAGAACAATGTTGTTTCTTTCAGCCATGATTTAGTTAGTTAGTTAGTTCGTTAGTCGCAGTTTATTTCGAAAATGTAAGTAGTATAAAAAACAAAATAATCAAACAGTAGTGGACAGACATAAAAACAGGTTACTAAAGGAGGCATGAAAACTGAAAACAACGTATAATTATTTGATTTACATTTCCAAAAAGGAG